GGATACGGTGCAACAGATTCAACAAGCTCACAGGTTCGTGAACACATCGGATGCATCGAACAGTGTGGCAAAGTCCAGCCACGCTTCCTTAATTATCGGGAACTTCAATTCTAAGGTTGGCTGTGTCATTGCTGTTTGTGTGTCTTACATGTTCACAACGTTTTACCTCATGAGCATTTGCCTCACTCCGCTTGATGTCCCACCAGTCCGGATGCACCCCTGCTAGCTTTCGTCACCTACCCTCGGCCTCAAGTGCGGTTTGAAACGCTTATCTGGCTCGGCGGCTGGTGTGTGGAGTACTTTAGCTCTCAGATGCTCTATAGTCTATAGCTTTGTATAGGCGGCTCAATGAGCCGCCACCATGTTTGCTTGTCATGTGTGGGGTACTATATAGCTCTGAACACCAAACGTAAACCAGTTATAAGCAACTACCAAAAATTTGTGCTAACAAAAAACCTAACATTTTGAAAGTTACTTTTACTTTGAAAACTTATAAATTACTTACAAATAACTTAGACAACTTAGTAAAGCAATTTCAAAATGCTCAGATTGTAAGTTTTGTAAGTTAACTTACAAGTTTTCTATGTGGTGTAACTGCTGTAACTTATTTATAAGTTCCATAACCAAGAAGGAGCCACCAAGTAGGTGCGGAGCCCAGGGCAAGTCCCAGCTGGAGCCTGCAAAAACCATGCCCAAAGGGCGACTGCGCTTGACACTACAAGGCACATCCACTGGCAACGGCTTCCACACTGCAAGGCACATCCATTGGCAACGGCTTCCACCCTGCGGTTTCCCAGGCGCCGCCCCGCCTAGGCGTCAGCTAGGCTGGGGTCGGCGGATATATGTATTATATGTATTTGTTTTATTGTTAGACCCCTGTCTTCGCAAGAAAGCTTGGCTGAGCTGCATCTGATGCTTCTCTGTTGGACCAAGCCTCTCAGGCAATTCTGATGCTGTGAGGAGGAGTTGCAAGAGGTTCTTTCCCAGCTGCCACAGCGAATTGAACGCCGCCCGGTGAGAGCTGATATGGCTGGTGCACCGCAAGTTGGAATCATCCAAGTACCAGGAACTTGAAAACCTGCTTGATAAAACTTGATGGGCGGAACCCAGCCTGCTTTGGACTGTTTGACAAAATGTTACACTGCTACGCACGGTCCTTCTGGCTGTACGGCTGTACCTCACAGTGTGCTGGTGGTTGAATCTATGTATATACGTCCAAGTTTTGTTTTGCGCGTTTGAAAGAAACATGTGCGGCCGTGCCTGAGGTCCAGAAGATGTGGACGTACTTCTGGAAATGGACTTGGCAGACCGAGCAGAAGGTGTGCGCAGAGCTGAGCAGCCCAATTTTAATCTTTTGGCGGGTCCGTTGCTTGGAGGTAAGATGCCTCCAGTGCGGGCTGCCAGAATGCCACGTCGTTGGCAGCCGTGGAAGTTCGTCACGGTGGCCATGGTGATTCCGTGGCTTTTGATGCACGCAACCCAGTTGCATCAGCCCAATCTTTCGAAACAAATGGCCGCGCCGCCAATGCAGCGAAAGGCGTCCGTCCCGCCAGTTTTGCATTTCGTGCCAATGCACGAGGCAAATTGGCCAAAGTGAAGTGGGCGATTTTAAAAAGGCTGTCAATTTGGAATTCATTGCTCACAATGGCGGTCCATTCTCGTCTTGGGCAGACCATTGTGATTTGATTCTGGCTGACATGAAGGTGTGACAAGTCCCTTCCGTTTGCTAGACTGTACAAAAGTTCCATTGAAATGCTCTAGAGGGGACATCCGGATTGGTTGAATACTTGGTATAGTTGAATCATTGATTGTGTTGTTCTCAGAGTTTTTTTAATTCGCGGCAGTTTTGCATTGACCGATTTCGCCTCTAAATCACGGCCAGCGTTTCCAGCTGTTGCCGCGCAAGCAGCGGCCGTGTGTGACCAGCGCGGAGCTACAGAAATTTCGAAAAGAGGTGTCCGCATCTGTCCATTGGCAGCCTTTGACAAACTGTTTGGGATCACATCGACCCAGGGAAGACAAGTATCCAGCTCTGGGTCAGGTGACCAATGAACAGTGGCACGAGTGGCAGGCACGTGGGAGGGACCAGGGAAGATCTTTTTTTGAAGATGCAGAGGGATTTCACAAAAGACTCTCCGTGACAGCTGACAATGAGCTGCGATTCTGAACTCAAGCGCTTGCAGCCATCACATGCAAATATGTGTATATACAATACAATATGATACTATTTTAAAAGAATAATATTTACTAATATTTTGTAGATCTTATATAATATTATGTATAAACAATATTATGTAAATATATACAATATATCATTTATATACAAGTACAATATATGGGTACGGCTCAAAATACAAGGTATGGATCAGGCACTGGGGCCATCCATTCCATACCTCTGATGTATTCCAAAACGCAGTTGATCCAGAGCGTGGCATATGGATTTCCACAGAACGATCCGTACCCCATTATTATGTATTTTTTAAATATCTATATATACATACATTTGAATACACTATATATATACACAAATATAGATGTTTTGTATGTATGTATGTATGTATGTATGTATGTATGTATGTATGTATGT